CCAACAGCACGTCCACGGCGGTCGGGGCGGATGTTTCGCCGTCTGCCCGGCGCTTGTTGCGACGCTCGCCCGTCGTTTCACGGGCATTACGGTCGTTGTCGGAAATTATCGGGTCGTCGGCAACGATGTTGTTAGCACGGTTAAGCGTCGGCGTCGCAGCCATCGTTGAGCGGTTTTGGTTAAGGATGTCGGCTAATAAAGTTGAAGGAGAAACGCCTCTAGGTAATGAGCGAGTCCTCGCCAGCTTGAACGGTAAAACTAGAAGTGAGCTCGAGAAAATGGAGTTGCATGAGCCGTTGGAAAACGAGAGACGTGGGTGGAGGGAAATGAGCTCCAACCCACGATTTGTAGTTGGAGAAGGGCGTTTAGCGCGCTTCGACGATGCCAAAACATGCGTTACAAGCAGCTGCGCTTTCGAAATACGTAATTTTGAAAAACACTTCGTGTGTTTAAAAATTATAATTTTTCATCATATGGTGATGATCCGGCCAGAGAGCAACTCAAACTGCTCATGCTGCCACTACTGCTGGTAGCGCTGTTACGACGAACAATTTGATCGTACGTCAAATTGTTGGAAAATTTGTTACCTTTAACACCCAACATACCATTATGGCAGATGCTAGGCTCCTTAACATGGCTGTTGTTACAGCGGATGCAGAACCTGCTACTGCTGTTCTCACTGCTCTTGCTGCTGCCCCCACCATCCCCCATGTAAGCTGCTGCTTTGACTAAAGCAGTTGTCAGAAGCTGCTGCTGTTACTGATGACGCTGCAGCGAATTCTGCTGGGAGTCAGACGTGTGATGGAGATGACAATCCCTAAGTTCAACACTTGACATCTGCATGCACGATGCTGTCTGCTGCTGAAAGGCAGTGGTCTCCCACCCCGATGTGGCGACACCACCACATACTGACACGTCAGCACCATTGGGAGCTGAGCGGTACTACAACTTCTGACTGCCAGATTGGGTGCTATGCTTGCCGCGGGAATGAGCCTCGGAGCTGCGGAGATTCACTCGCTTACACCCGCTACTCGTTGCCAGCGGTACAACTATTGACTGCAGAGATTCACTCGCATACAAACTTCCTAGCTGTAGGTTAAACACCGCGTTCTATAGAACTAGACGAGTCTAGCAAAAATGCGGTCCAAATCTCTTTTGGAGCGGAAAGACTCCCACTGAGGGATCTGGAGATGAGGGCATCATCTTGATGATTGGTTCGCACAGGCCTTTCGGTTCTCGCAGGCCTTTAAGTTCTTGCAGGTGTGGTTCTCCCATCGAGCACAACTTGTCAAGGTTGAGGGAAGTGGTTGCTCGAAATGGTTCCTCCTCCGCTACGAGTTGACTTCACCGGAGTCTAACCTTCAAAGGGCTCTGTGAAGTGAAGATGCGGCAAACTCAGAAAGTCAATTTCTTATAGTACTGCTGTAATTTTCGATCCCGAATCACTGGATTGGATTCGGGTTGAGAGGAGAAATGGAAATCAATCCTGATACTTGAGATAGATGAAACCTGAAAGCCCCAATATGGGACCGTCCATGTAACACCTCGCTACCCACTGGGTCAAAACGAGGGTTATGTTTGAGGCGCAGCGGAGGCACTCAACCTTTACGTGTAAGCCCTGCAGGCATTACACTCATTCCCCCCTGGAGCCAACGTCCTTGTTGGGCAGGGAGTCGGCCCTTGCAAGGCCTCAATCTCGCTCTACAGCGAATTCACTGGTGGGCCAGGCCAGTGGCGGATCATTCACTGGGCTAGCGACTAGGTTACCACTTTCAACTTCACACTCAATAGCGGAAAATGTGACCCAGCTGGGAATCAAACCCCAGGCTCTGAAACCAAATGTAACACCTCGCTACCCGCTGGGTCAAAACGAGAGTTATGTTTGAGGCGCAGCGGAGGCACTGAACCCTTACGTGTAAGCCCTGCAAGCGTTACAGTCTATCTGACCACGATGACGGAATGCATGATTCGTTAGCAAATGCCCTGACGAGTCGAAGTCATATGCAGGCCATTCGTTTGTGGACATGCATGTACACATCGGTGTACATACGTGGTTCGCGAGAATACACGTACCGTACTAACGAGCATGCTGCAATGGGACTAAACGAAATCTTCTTACCTAATCTTGTGGAGGGAATAAATCAGCCCAGCGCAGGAGCGACTAACAACCCCCATTTGCAGGTGCAGGCCAAAGCGCAAGCATGTGCGCGTGCGAAGGTGACACTGCGGAGGAACCATGATACAGTTTACGAATAGGAGGAACAGCAATACTGGGTGAGGAACGTCAAAGCTCGTACAGTAAAATAGCAATGGTTCTGCAAGACAACACAGGGAAGCTGCCTAATTTGTAGGTGAATCCCACTCACACACTCTGTCTACCACTGGCAAGCTGCTCCCACCACAACAGCCCCCTATTTGCCAGGCACTCTGGTTCAGAGTCGGCTCGGGAGGGATTCCGTAAGGCGCCTAGGAATGATCCAATTACCGTATTCTCCCGGATAAAACACCGTAGGGTATTATGAAAACCACTGGGAAAAAATGGGGGGGGGTCTCCTCAAAGGAAAATCCTGCATAATACCCGGGTCTTATTATATGGTATATTTTTCATCAAGCAGAAAAGATGTGAAACAAAATCAGGGGGTCTGACTTCACTTCAAAATTGTTGTTCAATGCCGCAAAACCGAGTATACGAGAATAACGTGACTGCCCATTGGAATCTGCCACGTGGCAAATTCCAGTGGGCGATTCTGGCACTTGATAGGGTGAAAACAAAGCTAATTGCGTGGCGAGGGTTCATGCAACCGCCCAGGCCAGAATCGCGCACGGTGGTGCGTTGTTACTGTACCAGTCAGTTCTTGACTGGTTTGGTCACGTGTCTATGCCTCATGTGAGAAGGTGATTTTCACCTATTGGACCACTTGCAGCGGAAGATTCGCCAGCGTGGCGACCGTGAGATTGTGGGAGGGGGGAAATCTTGGCAGATTCTACGATAAGTGAAAGTACACGCGAAATTTCATCAAGGGAGCAATTCTCGCGATATCCCCCCCGTAAGGAATCGGACTCAATAACAGCTAAAATAGGAATCTATAAGAACAGGGGGGTGTTATAGAGATTCACCCCATTCACCCCAAAAGGGGGGGTATAGTACTAACGGGGTCGGATATAACACCCACCCCATATTAGCTACCCGGGGGTGTACAATTACGGGGGGGTGTTTTATCCGGGAGAATACGGGTAGGTTTGGTTTGGGGTCTCGGCCCCAAAAAAAGCAAATTTTGGGATATAATGGATTCCATTGTCGAGAACAATCGCGAATTTCGTCATATGGTGATTGGTTCAAAGCACATCCTTACCAAACACCACCGCAGCGTGCACACCATACCCTGTCTCTGCATCACTTCCCCTCCTCATCGCTATATCCTCCTAGAATGACTTTCACAAATTGCTGACACTGGAAATCAGCCAGTGCGTGACTTCCCATGTGAGTTAACCGTATATGGATCAAAGATTAGCGAGAGAACAGAAATGGTTTTTAGCGGAATTCAACACATTCTGGTTGGAAACTCACGCATTACACGAGGGGGCTCAGTAACCCCATCCAGGTAGCGAACGATTCGACCAATTTCTCAATGCAGGTACTGATGTGAGGGAAAGCCACGGTATGAAACCAAAGAAGATTTGCATCGCCATCCAACAGATTTGTACCGTACATCAGGCTAGCGAACCTTATACAACCAGACCCCATGCATTATTACCGCACAGAAACAGTGCCTCTCATCACTGCAAAGTTTATCTCTCTGCTACACAATCAGATAAAAATACGATCAATGTTGTCGCAACCTTGCACAACAAGTGTGGACATCAGTTCTGGATTGTCAAAATCCGGGGAAGTGACTTGGCACATGCTGATTTCTTTTTGAGCCAGGCACAGCTTTTGGGAATTCTCAAAAGCCGCACCAAACAAGCACGGCTCATCCAGCGATACATCTGCAACAGAAGCTTCCCAATGTTCTCTCACATCGATTGATTCATCGTACGGTGATGATCCAGCCACAGAGCAACTCAAACTGCTCATGCTGCCACCACTGCTGCTAGTGCTGTCACGTCGAACGATTCGATCGAACGTTACAGCGTTGGTGAAATCATTATGGGTATCACCCAACAGACCGTTATGGCAAGAGCCAGGCTGCTTAACATCGCTGCTGTTACTGTGGGTGCAGCTCCTGCTACTGCTCTTGCTGCTACTGTCGTTGCACATCTTGCTGCTGGCTCCACCATCCCCCATGCGAACTGTTGCTTTGACTGAAACAGTTTTCTGAAGCTGCTTCTGTGGCTGATAGTGCTGCAAATACCCTGGGAGTGGGACCTGTGCTGCAGGCGACAATCCCTGAGTTCCAGGCTCAACAGCTGCATGCAGGATGCTGCCTGTTGCTGAAAGGCAGTGGTTTCACACCCTGACGTGGCAACACCACTACATGCTGACACGTCAGCACCCATGGCAGCTATAGTATTTGGTGGTCCCATCCTAGCATCGTTCCGAAACACAGGTTCATGCGTGACAGGCTGCCGGTTACCAGAACTAGCACATGGTGCGCCACCCCAAGGAGGAATAGTAAGCTCAGGGCCAGGAGTAACCTCAGCTTCAGTAGTGGCAACACCAACGCCACTGCTGGTAACACCAGAGTCAGCTGCGGGCGCAGCCGAAAGAGAATGAAGCCCCGCTGGTAGCCCAGAAGGAATAGCAGTTGGATCAGTTGAATAGGCTGCTTCAGTGTAGCCAAGCGAAGGTGCAACCGAGGTGCAGGCGGTAACAGCAAGTGTGAATGCGGAAACCGCAGGGATGTGCGTAACTGTTGCAGCAACAAAATCAGTGCGTATGTCCGTGACAGCAGTGGTGACATCAGCAACGCCAGCCGTGACGTCAGCGGTGACATCAGCGTTCACATCAGTGACGCCAGTGGTGACATCAGTGGTACAAGAAGTAAGTACACCAGGAGTGCATGCTGTCCGTTGGCGTTGGCCTTCCAGCTTCTCACTGCACGGAAGAGTTGGCGGCACACACTGCTGCTTCTGTTGTTGCGGCAGTTGCTGCTGCTGCTGCTGCTGCTGCTGCTGCTGCTGCTGCTGCTGCTGCTGCTGCTGCTGCTGCTGCTGCTGCTGCTGCTGCTGCTGCTGCTGCTGCTGCTGCTGCTGCTGCTGCTGCTGCTGCTGTTGCTGTTGTTGCTGCTGCTGCTGTTGCTGTTTATGTTGCTATTGCTGCTGCTGCCACTGTTGGTGCTGCTGCTGCCACTGTTGGTGCTGCTGCTGCTGTTGCTGATGCCATGGTTGTTCCTGCTGCTGGTGCTGCTGGTGCAGTTGCCTCTGTTGCTGTTGCCACTGCTCCTGTTGCTGCTGGTGTTGCTGCTGGTGCTGCTGTTGCTGCTGCTGCTGCTGCTGCTGCTGCTGCTGCTGCTGCTGCTGCTGCTGCTGCTGCTGCTGCTGCTGCTGCTGCTGCTGCTGCTGCTGCTGCTGCTGCTGCTGCTGCTGCTGCTGCTGCTGCTGCTGCTGCTGCTGCTGCTGCTGCTGCTGCTGCTGCTGCTGCTGCTGCTGCTGCTGCTGCTGCTGCTGTTGCTGCTGCTGCTGTTGCCATTGCCAATGTTCCTCCTCCTCCTCCTGCTGCTGCTGCTGCTGCTGCTGCTGCTGCTGCTGCTGCTGCTGCTGCTGCTGCTGCTGCTGCTGCTGCTGCTGCTGCTGCTGCTGCTGCTGCTGCTGCTGCTGCTGCTGCTGCTGCTGTTGCTGCTGCTGCTGTTGCCATTGCCAATGTTCCTCCTCCTCCTGCTGCTGCTGCTGCTGCTGCTGCTGCTGCTGCTGCTGCTGCTGCTGCTGCTGCTGCTGCTGCTGCTGCTGCTGCTGCTGCTGCTGCTGCTGCTGGTACTGCTGCTGAACCTGCAATGTTGGATGCTGGTGTTGCTTCTGCTCCTGCAACCGGCAATGACATTTCTGGCTCTGCTGCACCGGCTGCTGCAGGCTCTGCTGCTGCACCGGCTGCTGCAGGCTCTGCTGCTGCACCGGCTGCTGCAGGCTCTGCTGCTGCACCGGCTGCTGCAGGCTCTGCTGCTGGACTAGCTGCTGAGTATGCTGCTGCACCAGCTGCTGAGGGTGCTGCTGCATCGGTTGCTGCAGGCTCTGCTGCTGCATTAGCTGCTGAGGGTGTTGCTGCATCGGTTGCTGCATGCTCTGGTGCCCTTCCAGCCCATGAAAAGAGAACCTCATGTCTTGAAGCACAGCACCTTGCATATGCTTCATGTGAGGACCCTGCTGCTGCATTGGCTGCTGCACTGGCTGCTGTGGGTGCTGGTACATCGGCTGTTGTGGTGCCTGCTGTATTTGCGCTCCCTGCTGCTCCAGAGAAACCATGCTGGTGACTCTGCTGGCCCCATGCCGCGCCTCCTCAGATTGAACTGCTTGCATCTGCTGCACATGCTGCAACCGAGGGTCACCCTGCTGTTCCATAGAAACCATGCTGGTGACTCCGTTGGTCCCATGTCGCAACTCCTCAGATCGAATCGCTTGCATCTGCTGCAACTGAGGGCCACCCTGCTGTTCCGTAGCAACCACGTCAGAGCAGCTTGGAGCAGGACAGCACGTAGCAGGATGACAGGTTGTAGCAGGATGACAGGTTGTAGCAGGATGACAGGTTGTAGCAGGATGACAGGTTGTAGCAGGATAGAAAGCAGTAGCAAGAGGGAGGGATCTAGTAGGAGGAAAGTTTGTAGCTGGAGGGGAGGCTGTGGCGAGAGGAAAAGTTGTGGCAAACGACATGGTTTTAGCAGGAGGAAAGGTTGTAGCAGGAGGGGAAGGTGTAGCAGAAAGGAAGGTTGTCATAGGAGGAAAAGTTGGAGCAGGCGTGACGGTTGTAGCAGAGGAGAAAGGTTTGGCAGGTGGAAATGTTAAAGCAGGAGGTGAGGTTGAAGCAGGAGAGAAGGTTGTAGCAGGAGGCGAGGTTGTGCCAGGGACGGCATTTGTAGCAGGGGGTAAATCTGTCGCATGAGGGACGGTTGCAGCAGGAGGCAAGGCTGTACCAGTAGGGGAGACTGTAGTAGGAGGGAAGGTTGTAACAGCCGTGACAGTCACATGAGTATGAGGAAGGCATCGGCATGTCGGAGCATGGTTATGTGTGCCGGAAAACGTCGTCTGCACCACCACTCGCATCTCTGTTCTGTCACGCCCTTTATTGTCACTTCTTGAAGCCAAGTGGTTTGTGGAAGTGGAGCTTTTCCCCTTTGCGACTGCGCATTGAGGCTTGTAGCGGCGAGGTCGTGCCTCCCCAGCCACCCGGTCCTCCGTTTTTTTCGCCGGGCAGCCCGTGAGTTGCTTGGATGCGCACACAAAGTAGACCCTGCAGCAGAGATGGACGGGAAATCGGTGCGTTAGATACATTGTTTGACATCAACAACCCTGGGATATCTGATAATGCTAATCTGACTGACGAGCTCAGAAAAAGCGGGTGGCTCACTATAGGGTTGTATACAGATCCATACAAACAACTTGTGGACGAAGGCGGAGGGAGAAGAGGGGCGGCGGGACTGCTACGGTGCTACCAGCAGTAGTCAAGGTACCCGTCGCACCAATAGTACCTTTTCATTTGCTGGCCGCCAACGATCCGTTTGTGCGATGCCTTTCGCCATCTAAACCCCTCGCAGCCGTGGCAACCGCTGCGCAGTACATGGGACTCCTGGCCCTGCTGCTGGTGCTCGTGTTGTTGTTGTTGTTGCTGCTGCTGCTGCTCGTGCTGCTGCTGACGCTGCGGATCATGCGGATATGATGATGCATGTGATCCATCATGACCGTTCATGTCTCTGCTCCCGTAGCAGCACGCAGCAGGATGTCGCAGGAGGTCACTGAATGTTGCTGGTTGTCGCAGGATGTTGCAAAACGGGACGGGGGGGGGGTGTGTTAATGGGTGACAAAGGATGTCGTTGGATTTCACAGGAGATTCTGAATGTCACAAGGGGTCACTGGATTTCAAAAGAGGTTACTGGATCTCACAGGAGTCATTGGAATCTCAGGAGGTCAGTGGATGTTGCCGGATTTCATAGGAGGTCCTGAATGTTATAGGAGGTCAGTAGATGTCACCGGATGTCACAGGATGTCAGGGGATGTCCATGGAATCTCAGGAGGTCAACGGGTGTCGCTGGATTTCAGAGGAGGTCCTGATTGACACAGGAGCTCAATAGAGGTCAGGGGAGGTCACTGGATGTCAGGGGAGGTCACTGGAGGTCAGGGGAGGTCACTGGAGGTCAGGGGAGGTCACTGGATGTCAGGGGAGGTCACTGGATGCTACAGAAGGTCACTGGATTTCACTGGCGTCAACAGAATGTCAGAGGATGACTCAGCGGATATGAGATGCTGAGGATTCAAACACAGCCGCATGTACACGAGATGTGGTTGCTGTCACAAACCGCTCCGATGAAATGGGGTACGAGCAGTACTATTGACTACCAGACTCAGGGGTCACCTCGAAGAAACCGCATCCACGGTGGTGCTTACGGAAAATGGGTCCCGGAGCTGCGGAGATTCACTCACTTTTTAAACGGCATAACTGTTAACTCAAATACAACCATTCCCATAGCACCAGATGACTTTGACGAAATGTGGACCAGAAAGACGGCTATGGCGTAATGTTGGAAGGGTTTGATTAAAGCGTTTCTCCTGATAACACTTAATTCAGAATACGAGGAATCCCCGAGTCACAGGATATGGAGCACGTATGACTTTTGAGTCGACTCAAAAGTATTCCCGAGCCACACGATATGGAGCACGTGTTATCACGGTTGAGGCAAAAGAGGTGCCCATCAACCCGTAAACCTGAGATAATGAACGAGGAAAGCATCAATCCGGGACCATCAACGAATGATCACGAATGACCACGTGCATCCTTCAGGGTTGGTTGGTATCGTTCCAAGCACGGGATGATGCGGCGAGCATATGGTGTGTATGGGTGACGCCGTTGTTAGTCACTCAGAAAAGTCCTAGCATACCGTTTGATGCAGGCCATTCGCACTACGGTGATGCGCACTAATCGATGTGCATACGCAGGCCGCGAACTTCGCAACATGCTGCGCCGGGACTAGTCGTAATCGAGCTATTCTGACCTAATCTTGGCGGGAAATGCAGCCGCGCGCGGAGCTGCGCTGCATGGCCAGGCGCACAGCACATATGCACATATGCGGTACATATGTGCCACATGTGCGAAGGGTGACACTGTGGACCAACAATCCGGAAAGCAGGGCTTGAGTTGGGAGAACAGCATTGCTCGGTAAGCAACGACAAAGAAGTCAGGAGGGCTGACTTGGATCAGCCAGCTTGCGTGGCTGGTTGGCTAAATCCGCCGCATTCGTACACATAAAGAGGCAACGGAAGGTGCGAAGGAAATGTGATGGAGTTGCAAGTGGTGCAATAAACACCTGGAGAGAGTGGGTGCTGCAGAAACATGTCAACAATGTCTTGGTGTGAGAGAGAGAGAGCTGTCGATTACAGTTGCACTGACATCGAATCTGAGAAAGAGAGGAAGGCGTGCTTGAGGACGCGTCAACTCCTGCAAAAAACGGCGATCGATCGTGCAATATCGATCTTCCACCGTACTTAACTCTTGCAATTACGTTCAAAGTTTGTTATAACCTTTTTCAACCCAGTCAGAATTCGATCCTGCCCAGGATCGATCGCCAAATTTTGCCGGAGTTGACGCGTCCTGAGATTGTCGGAATCTGCTTTTCTAGGGTTGGGTGAAGAAGGTTTCTCGTCTTCTCTCCTTCAGCTCGGCAGCATCCGCTGACATCCAACGGATACATAACGGCACCGAGCATCAAACATCACGTAGCATACATTACGCTGTTTCAACCGTGTTGCACCGTGTCAGATGTCATCTACACACGATTACGATCGCTATCCCTGATCAGAAGAGGCTGTGGCTCAGATAGATGGAAGGGATGGATCGCCAGCGCGTCACCTGCGACTACACTGGGGTCGCGGTCACTGAGTTGGCCCCTGCCATCCAGCCAAAAATGCCCTCTAGTGAAGTGTTAAGCCAAAGCGAACACCACGTGTCACGTGCCATGCGACCTTGTCACCGTCGCAGAGGCTGCCGGTATTGATTGGTTACAGCATAACCCCTCTATTGACGTTTAGCATAACAAATGGTTGCGACCTTGAACTATGAGCTATCAACTTCCATTGTGTTACAAGCGCCTAGTGTGTCCCTGGATGCAATTTTTTACGGTCGCGTTTGCAAGACATTGACGTGCAATGTTTTCGCAGGTTTGCACCATGGGTGTCCAAATTCATGTTGGAGAGGGGGGAACAACTCAGGGTTCACACACCGGGATTCGATTTCACGCCAAACTTTGATGGCAGACAGGCAAACTTCATGACCATGAGGGTGCAAATAGGTGCTTTGTTGAAGTGGGAGGGTGCCTCGCACGTGTTCAACGTTGTAAGTATTCTTTTGAACATTTGCAAACATCCAGAATTGTGGGACTCGCTCACTTTAGGGTTTAGGGCTGTGAAAAAAAAAATACCCTACAAAATATTTCGTCCAAAGGTATGTACACTAGGGTTTGAAATTACGGGGTAAAAAATTATCGAAAATATGGTGTAGAAGAGCTGGAAATTGGCAATGCGTAGTGATGTCATGTGTGTCAGCTAAGTATGCAAGGCATCGGTCGACCTCGTGCCAGCGGTGGTCGCTCAGCACCGTTAAGTTGGAACCCAACTTGCTGCATGCGAAGGCGGCAAACTGCAGCGAGCCGGCTTTTTGCGGTACTTCTCTGCGTCGCGCATCTAGAAGTCATCCTCGTCAAACATTAGCTCAACATAGGCGCCGACGGAGACCGTCGCCTTCGGACGCCGACCAGAATGATCTTCGTTGATGAAGCATCTGCGCAGCTTGTCGAAGTAAGACTGCTCATGGAGCTACAGGTTCCCACACGTAGATTGCACACAATATCCATCCCCACGTACTTCTGCACCAAGCTGATTTCGCACAGCTCAAAAGTGTTCTGCAGTAGCTCCCGCAACACCTTCAGTATTGCAATGCTTCTACTGGCGGCGATGAGGTCGTATTAACGGTAGTGGAGTGTTGACCCCACCCTCGCTTGGGCAACGCCGACGACTTGGTCGGATGAATGGGAAAAATAGCCGACCGTTCACAGTGGGAAAGCTGCTCGACGGGCTTTGTTGAGCTGTAGGGGACCGGTGTGGTGTTGCTGTCAACCAGGAGTGCTCGACGGCCTTCTTCTGCGGGGCAGGTCGACGAGGTGGCTGTCGACCTGCAAAGGACCGTCACGGGGCTGGAGCTGTCGACCAGGGAGCTCGAAAGCTGCAGCTGACTGGGCTAGGCGACAGGTAGGCCGTCGACCAAGAGGAGAAGTTCGACCGCGAGGTCGACAGAGCAGTCTGTCGACCTCACAAGTGAGCAGCGGTTGACAAGGGGAGCTCGACGACAACAGCTGACAGTTCTGGTCGACGGAAGGGGTCCGTCGACCAGGGGGTACCTCGACAAGAGTTGTAGTCGACCAGAGGCACCTAGTGGTCGACAAAAGGCCCCTGGTGGTCGATCGGAGGCACCTGGTGGTCGACCGAAGCACTTGGTGGTCGACCAGAGCACTTGGTGGTCGAACAGGTCGATTGGGTAACCTGCTCGACTGCAGAGAGACACTCTACAACGGTAGTGAGCTAGACAACGGGGGTTGGCACGAACTACTAGAGGTGATCGTAGCTTTGCTTGGTTCCTTAGTGCTTGCACATTCACGGGAGAAATCGGCAAGAGTTTTCACTAGCAAAGTTGGACTTGCATAATGATTGAACAAGCAATGGCAGAATGACTACATCAGGCACCTAGCAACCCTGCAGCTAGCCTGGTCGACCGCCAGCACAGCTCGGTCGACCGCCTGCCAGCGTTGCGTAGAGGGGCCGCGCCAACACTACAGAAAGGCGACCTGCCAACAGAGCAGGTCGACGTCATGCCAACGCTGCATCGGAGCGGCTGTCCAGCGTTGCCCCGTAGAACACAGCAGTAAACACGCTCGTAGGTGTGTCAGAATCCCAACCACTAGACCATTGGGATAAAAGGGCTTGTTAAGTAGCGGGTCAGTGCGCCCATAACCCCCCAGGCCAACATGCCTGTAACCCTTCCCTAGGATCAATCGGGGATCACCAGTGGACCTCTGACACCCCCCCGCACTGGGATGCCCGAAGTGCATACACCGGGATTCGAACCCGAGACCTTCGCTCTGATACCAT